GGTGACAGCTAGATTGATGGGGATGAGGTCAAATCATTATTTTTTCTCTCTGTTGCTCACCACCTGTTACAGATCCAGGCTAACAACTCTGTCTCTTAGGACTCAACCGGCTCAATCAGTAGTAGGGCTACTGTGCCACTTTTGGTGGTGGATATTGAAATTCCCCACCCAGACTTAGCTAATTTAATAATTAATGGTGCTACAAATTGAGGTTGTCCAGCCAGAGCAACGTTTGTATTCTTACCACCCTCAGTTCTTCTTCCATTTAGTATTCAACAAGGAGGAGCACTGATTTATCAGCTGAACATTGTCATTAGGTGGTAATCAGCGCAACATTTCGTCTAGACTGATGCCACAAAACTTCATGGAGTCTAGATTCAATATTAAGGACTTGACTATAGACCACTGTGCTGCCACTTCTTATGTGTTTGTCCTGCTGGTGTGACAGGACATAAGCAGCGAGGGTGATGATGGTGTCAGGGATGTTATGTGTAAGAGATGATATCATGAGTATGACTATGTCAGGCTGATACTTGACTAGTCAATAAGACGTCTCTCCCAATTTTGCCATAAACACCCAGATGTTGGTAAAGAGGACTTGCGGCGTTTGCCATTATCATTTCCTGTGCCTGGGCATTTCAAAAGTTTTAAAGAGTCAACCACATTGCTGCGGAGCTGAAGTCTCATGTAAACCAGGCAGAGTAAGGACAATGGATTTCCTTCCCTGAAGGGCATTGCTGAGCCAGATATGTTTCCACAGGAGTCAATTCATGGTCAACCTACTTTTCAAATTTCAGATTTCTGGCTTGAAAGTTTTAATTCCAATAATTGCCATGCTAGGATTGCAACTCATGGCCCGAGAGCATCTGGGCTCTGGATTATTATTAGTCCAGTGATATTAACAATATACAGCAGCTAATACTTTACAGCATTGTCAGACCAACATATTTTCCACCAAGACATTGATGATTTTCTTGAGGCCTGACTGGCAAGCTGAGCCAGGAGGTCAATTTGACCTTTGTAGTTTGCTGGTATTATGCAGTTGAGGATTCAGGCCCAGTACCCAGCAAAACCCAGGTAAATATTTTCAGGCATGCATTCCAAATACAATGGTTGTTTTGTGCAGAGTTTGGCTTTGACCAACTTTTGAGAGATAGAATTGGATTTCTTGGACAATAGTCATTTAATTAATTTGTTAAGTTTTTGTTGAAAAGGGTGATATGTAAGTACAAAAATTTGAAAACACATACTAACAAATTCAAGAACAGCTTCTTCCCTGCTGTTATCAGACTTATGAATGAACCTCTGATGTATTAGAGTTCTTTCTCTGTACCTTCTCTCTAGCTGTAACATTATATTCTGCATTCTGTTCTATTACTCTGATGTACTTATGTAAAGTTTGATTTGTCTGGATGGCACGCAAAAAAAATTACTTTTTACTGTATCTCGGTACGTGTGACAATAATAAATCAAATCAAATCAAATCAAATCAAAAGATACAAATAGCATATTGGCAGCTTAGGAAAATGACAAGATCGGAAACCTAAAAAGATTATAGACCATGTCAGTAACTATTTTATTTTAAAAAATCATAAAGGATAAAAGAGAGCATCTAAAAGTGGAAGAGAGATACTTCTTTTCAATTTTATTCAGAAGCACACAAGAGATTCTGAAGCAGTCATATTAGAGTGGTATAAGTCTTAGACAAACTTGAGATTATAGAAGATTGAAGGAATGAAGAAACCCTGGATTGTTGTGACTCAGACTGAAACCATGAAATAATGGAAGGTTCTTTTCATCTATTTAGAACCACTACATGGAAAATAAATCTCCAAACTGCCAACCAATACAGTAAAGAATATTGGAGGGATTCCATGAAACTGAGATATGAAACAGCAAAAAAAAATCAGAGGGGACAGATGCAGTGTAAGTGTTAAGACTGGAGACAAGGAAAGGATTTAAGGTGGAACTAAGTCACCAAGCTAATCAAAGAGAGGTTGATTCCTGAGTCAATCCAAGGCCCTTGCAATCGTGTCAATCTTAACAGAAACACAGGAAAAGCTATTGGTTAAAATTAAAGTCACTAAAATTAATGTTGCCAGCAAAAAACCATAAAATTGATAGCGTTGGTTTTGCTCTACAAAAGATTAAGAAGTTATAGACATTCACCAAAAGACAAGGAGTGACAGAACTTGATGGATGAACTTTGCAAGTATCAGATAGTTTGAATTACATAACAATCAAAGCTAAATAATTCAAGAGAGGTAAGCCAGCACTCAGGAAATCAGAATGAAGACAATTATATGCATCACACTTGGAATAAAAATGCTTGCAGGACAATGGAAAACATTGGAGTCAGAAAAAGCCATGCCTTGGTTTTACAAGGAGATGAATGGACTTCCATTTTCTACCATAAAACAAAACATTTCCTATCCAGTTATTGATTTGTATTTCTTTAGCTGCTTTTATTCGTTTCCATTATTAAAGTTCAAAGGCCTCCAACATTCTTTTATAATCAAGCATGAAAATCAACAATGTGTGATTTAAAACAGATATATTATTCAGTAAGACCATTGTTCTATTAGTTTAACATCTGTATTTTAAAGACAGGAAACAAAAATTCAAAACTTATCAAAATTTAACAATAACACGTTTCTTTCTTCAATAAATAATCTTACAGCTATATCTAGTATTGTTAAGAGGTTCTTCTCACATAACTATGTCTAAACAGAGTTATTTAATGTCCTCTAAACTTTCCCTTACCTATTAAGTCATTTTTCAATCCTTCTTTCTGTGATATTCTTCATTTGTTAGCATTTCCTTGTTTGCTTGTCACAATTGTGCGTCGACAATGAAAGAAATTCAGCTACTTCAACTATATAGTATACTTTCAAAAATAAACATCGAAGCATGGCAATGTTTTTCATGTAAGGTTTCACTTCTGCCATTGGGGTTCAGAGATATAAAATAGGGAATGGAGATGAATGTGGTTTCAAGGTTCAAAAAATGTCACATAGACTACAAAGTGTCTGGTAATTTTTTTTTAGAGAAAGTATGGGGCAAATGTAGCCAGTTCAGTTTTAAATTTGTCAGCAGTTGCACTGGGTGATAAATCTTAAACTTACATTTGTCACTGAAAAGGAAAAAGATAAATGGTAAGAATCGACTGCCATTGAGAAAAAGATGACAGAAATTATCTCACATATCTTGTGGTGTTTATGTCATCCCAGACAAGAGACCCATGTGATCATATATCTGTTTCAGAGATAGTAGGAACTGCAGATGCTGGAGAATCTGAGATAACAAGGTGTAGAGCTGGATGACCACAGCAGGCCAAGCAGCATCAGAGGAGCAGGAA